CGGGCGGCGGCGCGGCCGAAAGGTGCGGGGCGCTGCTTGCGGGAGCGGCCTGGGTGGGCGCCACCGTCCGTCGTACCGCTCTCGCGTCCCGGGCCGCGGCTCTCGGGATCTGGACTCTCCGCCTGAGGTCTCCCGCAGCCTGCACCCCAGCATCTGTAGCCCGCGCCTCTCCGCGAGGTCTCCGCCCCGCGCCCGTGACCCCATTGCGCCCTCCACATCTGCTCCCAGCCCGACGTCCCGGGCTCGCCGGTGGGTGCCGTCGCTGAGCGGCTTTGTCTGCGGACCCAGCGGCCCGGCGACAGGGTTCTCTGCCTCTCAGGGTCGGCCCCTGTCCCTCCACGGGGCCACGCCTCGGAACTCGCTGCCCGCACCGCCGCCCGCTGCCCGCCGAGAGTCTGTCTCCCCGTCCCCGACCCTCTCGCTGGGCACCTCCGTCTCTCCAGGTTTTCCGTCCTTGTCTCTGTCACTCTTGCTGCCTCGGTCTCCCCGGGGATGTCTCTCGTTGCTCGGTGTCTCTCACTATGTCTGTCTCTGTGTCTCACGGGTTTTCTCGTTGGGCCTGCCACTCCGAACCTCTGGTCCCGTCTCTTTCGTTATCCGGCATGGCTCTTTCATCTATTTACTATCTACCATCTATATATCATTTCTCGGTCACAGATTATCATCTGTCCACCCTCTATCTCACCTATCATTATTTATCTATCATCTATCTACGTAATCTATCATCTATCAGTATCCATCTATCTACCTACCTATCAACCAGCCATCTATGAATCTCTCCCAATATCTCTAGCTCGGCATTTCTCTCTCCGTCGCCCAGGATCCCCCTCTCCGTTGAGCAGCACCGACTGGGGTCTCTCTAGACTTGTCTCTGCCTCAGGTCTCTGTCAAGCCCACAGACCACTCCAGCTGCGCGCCCCCAATTCTCCCTGATTGCCTGGCGTCCGTCTTCCCCGCGCCGGAGCCTATCTGATTTTCTCAGAATCGGGGTTTTGTTCTCAGACAAACGAATCAGGACGGAAACGCATCGAATCCGAGGGTCCCGGATCGGGCGCGGCAGAGGCGGCGTGGAAGCAGCACTGGAGTGCGGCGGGTGGATGAGCTTCGGCGCGGGGTCGCGACCCGCAAATCCCCTCACCCGGCCGGTGCTGTGGGCCGCTCCGGGCGCACAGACCAGGGCAGCCCCAGGCCAGTCGCCGTCGGCCCGCACTGACCCGCTCCTCCTTCCACAGGCGGACGCCGCGGGCATGGACTATTCGTATGACGAGGACCTGGACGAGCTGTGTCCGGTGTGTGGTGACAAGGTGTCGGGCTACCACTACGGGCTGCTCACGTGCGAGAGCTGCAAGGTGAGCGCAAGCTGGAACAGGGAAGGGCTAGGCTGCGGGTGGCAGGGGTGCGGGTAGCGAACGAGGGTCGGACCTGGTGTTCACTCCCTTCCAATTGCACAGGGCTTCTTCAAGCGCACAGTCCAGAACAACAAGCATTACACGTGCACCGAGAGTCAGAGCTGCAAAATCGACAAGACGCAGCGTAAGCGCTGTCCCTTCTGCCGCTTCCAGAAGTGTCTGACGGTGGGCATGCGCCTGGAAGGTGCGCGTCCTGCACGGCCCGGGACCCCTGACTGCTGGCCGCCCCAGGGAGCCGCGGGCGGGCCTGGGAGAGGGGCTGAGGGGAAAGCGGCGCAGTTTCTGGATCCAGGTGATTGGCCCCTCGGCGTGACGTTGGGGCCCCAGCTCTGCGGGAACAGAAGCAACTAGTGAGGCAAGCGCCACAAGAGGCCTTGCAAGCCGGGCATGCCTGGGATCAGTTCCAAAACATCAAAAGTGAGACTTCTGTATGGTAGGCTCAGGAGACTGAGGCAGGGTGATTACCAGTCATGGACTGCATACTGAGACCCAGTACTCCCTCCACCGAGGGGGTGAGCCTTTCTCCAGGACAGAGCAGAGTCCCAGTAGACCCACTTTGTGAAGAGCTATCCCTATAGATCCCTACACCAGCCCAAACCAAAGCTCTCAATAACTTGACCATGTTCAAATTTCAGCTTCTTTACTTGTAGGCTGAGGACACTGAGCAAACACCCTAATCTCTCTGAGCTGCAGATGCCCCCATCTGAATAATGGGCTAAAAAGTAATACTTGCCCTGTATGGTGGAAGAACTGGAGGTTTACAGAAAACCGGAGTTGCCTTCTGTAAGGGCAAATACTCAGCAGAACAGCTGTAATTGTCATTATTATCACACTTTCTGCTGCTATGTGTCCATCACTGTCCACCCCGTTCATCTGTCTATCTGTCCAGGCATCTAAGTTTTACAGGAATTGAGATTCTTTCCCATGCATTCTTAGCTCAGCCCTGAGAAGGTTGGGGTGAGGGAAACAGTGGCCTATCATTGCCTCTTCCATACCTCTGTTCTGGTCCAGAGAAGACAGCAAGGGTCCATCAAGAGAGACTCAGGCTCAGAGAGTGGACAGTCATAGCTTCTACCCTGCTGGCCCCAGTCGGGCTGAGCGCCCAGCCAGCAGCTGTTGGCTAAAGTTTTTGCAGAGAAGGCCCCAAAGTCTGGGAGAGCTGTGGACATATCCTGCTACCTAGAGAAGGACTTATATTGAAGGAGGTACCCTGTCCTGTGCCTGGGACCCTCATGCCTACCTCCAGGTCCTGAGTGGGCAGAGAGCTAGCTATTGTGGGTGGCAGAAGCCTCTGGGGTAACCTGAGGGAGCAAAGCAGGCTGGCCACCTCCCAGCAGGAAGATCTGTGTTGGGCAGGCTCCCAAGCCCTAAGTTCTGTGAAACACCACCCCTCTCTCCGGCTCTTTCCCTTTCCTCAGAGCTTGGGTGGGGTCCTGTCTGAGCCACACTCGAGCTGCAGAGATGCACCTGTTAAGTCTGGCTGGTGACACATTCTTGGCCAGAAGAAAAACATCTGGTCAGCAAAATAGGTCCCTTCCTCCAGCACAAAACCAGTAGAAGGCAGTGGGGGAAGCCCCGTCATCCTGCAACAGGAGCTCAGTAGAATCAAGAAGGCTGCAACAAGCAGCTGGCCCCCCACTGTGAGCAGAGCAGACTAGGGCTCTTTTTCTTTCACCATTCCCCTGTCAGGCCCTAGTCTGGGCACCTGAACTCAGAGCTGAGCCCCAGGTGCTTTGGTCTGAGGTATACCATGGGGCAGGACAGGAGATTCTGCCTGGGGGAATCCTTGGACTTCCTGGAAGTGGCAACAATGAGATTGGGTTATGCTATGAGAAAGAATATGTGAGAGAAAGAAAAGGGTTCCAGGCAGAGGGAATAAGTAATTGAGGGCAAGGTGGGTGAGGAAGTGCGTTCAGTGGAGAAACAAAGGAGGGCGAGGAGGGAGGAGGGGAAGACGACGGGTCACTAGAAGGTGGAGAAAGGCCTGGAGTGCCAAGCTGAGGCTGTTGCTCTCACCTGTGGGCAGAAGAGGCCATTGAGTGGAGGTGGAGGAATGGTGTGTGTGTGAGAGAGAGACAGAGACAGAGAGACAGCAACAGAGACATAGACATATCCTTTTGGGAAAGATCTGAGAGGTAGGTGGAGAGGTGGAACCTGACTGACTGCTCCTGCCCACAGCTGTGCGAGCCGATCGAATGAGGGGTGGTCGGAACAAGTTTGGGCCCATGTACAAGAGAGACCGGGCCTTGAAGCAACAGAAGAAAGCACAGATTCGGGCCAATGGCTTCAAGCTGGAGACTGGACCCCCGATGGGGGTGCCCCCGCCGCCCCCTCCCCCACCGGACTACATGCTAACCCCTAGCCTGCATGCACCCGAGCCCAAGGCCCTGGTCTCTGGCCCATCTACTGGGCCACTGGGTGACTTTGGAGGCCCAGCTCTGCCCATGGCTGTGCCTGGTACCCATGGGCCTCTGGCTGGCTACCTCTATCCTGCCTTCTCCAACCGCACCATCAAGTCTGAGTACCCAGAGCCCTATGCCAGCCCCCCTCAGCAGCCAGGGCCACCCTACAGCTATCCAGAGCCCTTCTCAGGAGGGCCCAATGTACCAGAGCTCATACTGCAGCTGCTGCAGCTAGAGCCAGAGGAGGACCAGGTCCGGGCCCGCATAGTGGGCTGCCTGCAGGAGCCAGCCAAGAGCCGCTCTGACCAGCCAGCGCCCTTCAGCCTCCTCTGCAGGATGGCTGACCAGACCTTCATCTCCATTGTTGACTGGGCACGAAGGTGCATGGTGTTCAAGGAACTGGAGGTAGGTACCTCCTGACAGCCCCGGAACTCTGACCCTAGCCACACCTCTCGGCTGCCCAGCATCACCCTTTGGATGGGCAGTCCTGCCCAGTGGCTCAGGCAATGTCTGGGGAAGGACCACTGCAGGAGTCATTGCGGCTTCTGGTGCCCGCTGTCCCTTCCCATCTTGCTCCCTGTCTCTTTTAGCCCCTGTCTCCTGTGTCCCCTCCCTGGCTTGTGGTCTCTTAGTACCTCCATGTTCCCCCAGGCTTTGCTTCTATCCCAGTTGGGGTTTCCACAGGCAGCTCCCTCTCTCTTTGACACCCTGAGCTCCCTCAAAACACTTGTCTCGTCCTCCACATCACCAGCCTGTCAGAAGTAGGTCCAGCTGTCCTACCCTCCTCTCATTCAGGAAGGACACCAATCCCTGCTGTCCTCAACTGTCATAGATGGGGCTCTGAGCCTATGACTTTGTTTGTGGACCTGATTCCTACCTAGCTAAAGTGAGCTCACTGCCCCTGTGATGTGGTGTGTGTGTGTGCGCGCGCGCGCAGAATAACTAGATAGAAAGTCCTGTCTTTGAACTAGCCCCATGCAACTGCCTTTCCCTATCTCGTGCTCCCCCCACCTTTTTTTTTTTTTTTTTTTTTTTTTTAAACCAGAGCTAATGCACATGAAACTAAAGAAAGTAGAAACACAGGAGGAGGAACTGAGGCTAGTCATAGGAAGAATTTTCTAGTCATTTCATCTATTAGTGTGAAGGCTCTAAGGCCTGACAGCTGACTCTCTAGTGCCCTACCTAGCTCCTTATGTACACCACCCCCAAGACTCCAGAATCTTGACCAAGACTCATTGCTGCTTGGCATGGGTACAACTCAAGTCTGACCCTCCTAGGTCAAGCCCCCCTGGTTGTTCTGAGGCTAGCTATAAACAGCAGGGCCACTGCCCTCCCTGCTGGAGCCACTGCAGCCTTGAGCGGCTGTCAGTGCTGACGCCACTCTGCCTGGGCTTCCTCTGGGCATGTGGCCAGCTGGGCTGGGGGCACTGCCTGGCTGGCTGGCATGGAAGGGAATGAGGTGCAGCATGCGCATCCTGAGCCCTGTAGGGCACTCCAAGGCTTATTTAACCCAGAGGACTCTGGGAGTTAGGAACTAATGACCACGGCTCTCGTATCCACTGTGGAGGGCCTGGCATGCATGGCCAAGGACATGCCATGTCTCTGTCTTGGGTGACTTCTCTCACTGGCCCTTCTAGGCCAACTGATGTAGGAGATGGACATAGGTCAGATAGTGGGCCCTCCCCGCTGCCTTGTACTCATGGCTGAGTGCTCTGGAAGATGACCACCCCCAAGACACTGCAGACATCCTCTGCACAGAGAGTAGGAGGAGCTGAGCATTCCCAGCTTTCCAGGACCCTGGATCCAGGGGCAGGGCACTTCCTCTGGCTGCCTTCCTGGGGGGGGGGGGGTGTCGGGTCACTCAGGATGGGAAGGGCTTTTGTCCCAGCGCTGCTGAGTGTTTTTTCCTGCTTTTGGCTTCTCTGTGGCCCGAACCTTCCTGCTTCCCCTTCCCAGAACCTGTGAAGGAGCCCGGGGATCCTAGCCACAGTCAGCACTGCTTGTAAGGAGCCTTGCAGAGAAAAAAGCCTAAACCAGCCCTTGCAGCCCCTCTTGATCCATGGTTCCCCGGACGAGGAACTGTGTCACAGAGCCCAGGCATTCAAGTCAGAAAGGCTGAGGCTGCCCAGTGAGCTGGTTCTCACTGCGCCACACTAGTCCACTGATCAGGGGACATCTTTGTGATGGGACAGGGGCTCCGTGGCTCTGAGATTGGGCAGCCCTTGAGATGGGCACTGGAGACATTAGAGTGAACCGGACCCAGGAAGCTTCAGGGAAGGCTAGAGGACATATGTGGACTGTCAGTGAATAGATCCCTGGGTTTTGGAGAAACAGAGGACCCAGTGGGAAAGTACTGCTGTATCTGAGAGAGTCAAAGATTTCCAGAGGTGTCAGAGACAGGTCATGGCATCTAGCCTGTGGGACTTCTGCTCTTCTGGCCTGTTTTCTCATTTGTAAGGTAGGAAGGGCTTAATTAATATTTTCTTAGAGGCTTGTAAAGGCGGGGTAAGCTAGAACAGGTGAAGAATTAGATTTGTGGCTCAGTACACGGGAAGTCCCATCAGTGGAGGTGGCCTTTGTAGCATGAAGAAGAATCTACACTCGCCGGGTGGTGGTGGCACACGCCCTTAATCCCAGCACTGGGAGGCAAAGACAGGTGGATCTCTGTGAGTTCGAGGACAGCCTGGGCTACAGAGTGAGTTCCAGGAAAGGCGCAAAGCTACACAGAGAAACCCTGTCTCGAAAAACAAAAACAAACAAACAAACAAAAAAAAGAGAATCTACTCTCACAGGCCTTCCTGGAAGAACACAGGGAAAGGCCCACAAGGCCCACACACCCCTGAGCTCTGTAAAATGGGACCCACTTTGGCCCTGGTAGTATATCAACTTCTTGCCTGAAGGGTGGTAGACATGCATGATCACCATGAAGGGCAGGCTGGTGTCAGGATAGGAGTCCATCTTGACATCTGTCCCCTCAGTGTTCCACTCTGCTTCCCCCTGCTCCCCACCGCTGGAGCACCCCATTGGCAGCAGATAATTGCTTAGATAGATGGTTTATTAAGACACAGTAAGTCTGTCAAGACTGGGCTGATAAACAATTGCTCAGCCAGGAGTGTGCCAGGACCAGCCATGGCGTGTCAGACCCTGAAGAATTACTGAGCTTGTTGGCCTTGGCTGCCAGAGTGATCAGACCCCAGGGCTCCAGAGAGGCCTGTTGAGGGAGAGGTCAGTGCAGAGCCATCAATACCCTTCCTGGAGGCAGACTGCAGTGTCAGGGCTCCAAGATTTGTAGTGGGCCATAAGAGGGTCCAACAGACAGGCTGGACTGCCCAGGGACCCCAAACCAGGACTGCAAATGACCTTGACCCCAAGGTGGCAAGAGGAAGGTGGAAACTAGCTCTTTGGGCTGAGAGACACTCTTACACACTGTTGGTGTGTGTGTGTGTGTGTGTGTGTGTGTGTGTGTGTGTGTGTGTGTGTATGTGTGTTGGGTGTCCATATGTCCATCTCCCCACCCACAGGAAGGGGTGGGCATGGGCATGGCAGGAAAATTTGCTTGGCCAAGGAAAAGATGGAACCCAGGATGTTCTTTAGAACCTTTGTGACTGATCCAGATTTTCTCTATGCAGAAGAGGGAGGTGTGCCCTCTCCCATCACAGATCAGGAAATTAGAATTGAGAGAAATGCTTGGACAGGTGAAGGACTGGAGGAGTGCTCAGTATAGCCCCATATCATAGCCCAGGGCTGATCAGCCTCATGCTGGGCCACCCAGCCCCAGGTCTGAGGTCTGGGTAGAGTCTGCTCCAGGGCTGGGCACCCAGGTCACTGTGACCCTCTGCCTTCTGCCAAGGCTCAGTGTGCTTATCTCCTAATGTTCCTCTTTATCATTTCTCCTGCTCTGCTTCTTCCTTCCATCTGGGCACAAGGGTATCTGCTCCTATGGCTGAGATGCGGGTGGAGCATGCCCAGCCCTGCCAGGGCTCCTTCTGGATCACCCACATGGGCCTGTTTTTACTTTGCTGCCACTGTGACTACCCTGTGGGCTTCTTCCACCCAGGCATCCAGTAGTTCTCAGGGGCTCTCAAGATCTTCCAAGATCCTCCTGCCTGGGGTCACCTACTTGGTCCTGTCTGATTATCTATACCATGAGTATCTGTCACCTGGGAAGGGATGAGGAGTTCTGGAACTGGGGTTTCTGGGGTTTTGCCTTTCCTTGGAAAAGGTGATGGGAGAGGGAGGCCTCCGTGGTGCCCACCATCTCTCCTGGGGATGTGAGGAGAGATAGGGAACAGCCTGAAGTCAGAGGCTGGGTCTTTGTTCTGACACTGATGGGACTCAGCACAAACAATGGCCTGGTCTCTTGACCCAGAGAGGAGATGAGTAAGGATTGGCAGAAGCAGGTCCCTCCTACTCTCCTGCCCTGTGTATTGGGGCAGGGGTGGGGTGACAGGGTCCTGAGGAGTCTACATGACTGTTCGGCTGCTCTTTCTTTTTGACCCTCTCTTAGTTAGTGTTACTAATCCTGTAGTGAGGCACCGTGACCACAAGCAATTTAGGAGGAAAGGGTTAATTTGACTCACATATCCTGAGTCACAGTCCTCCGAGGGGCAGGAACCTGGGGGCAGGAGCTGATGCAGAGGCTGTGGAGAAGTCCTGGCTTGTCCATCATGGCCTGCTTGGCCTGCTTTCTTATAAAATCCAGGACCACTAGCTTACAGTGGTGGTGAGTTCCCCCACCACATCAATTATTAATTAAGAAAATGCCCCACAGACCTGCCTACAGCCCAGTCTTTATGGAGGCATTTCCCCATTTGAGGCTCTCTCTTCTCAGATGATTGTGTCAAGTTGAAATGAAACTAGCCAGCACATCTGCTTTCTCCTTTCTCCTCATCTGCCTGAGAATACCCCAGAGAAGAGGGAAAGGCTGCTGTCCTGGAGGACGGGGCTAGTTCTTATATCCAGTCATCTTTCCTTGGGTCTGGTTTGAGGGAGGTGAATGTTCTTTGGAGCATATGAACTTTCATCAACCTCTCGCTGATGCCTGAGGGGCCAGCAGTGATATGCAGGACACCAGTCCTGTCCACTCACACTCCAAAACACCAGGGAAGGCAGGCATGGGTTGGTGCCATCCCAGTTCCAAAGGGTAGAGAGAAAGAGGGCTTGAGAAAGGCTTCATGGAGGAGTAACTAGTCTACAGGAGACTCTGAAGCCCAGGGTGAACAGGGAGACAAGGACAAGTTGTTTTCTAGACCTAGTAGTAAAGAGAAGGAACTTGGGACCACACTCAGCTGTGCAACCTTAGGTAGCTCGCCTGAGTTCAATGCTCAATTTCTTCTCTCTGTAAAATGAGTGATGACTGTCAATAGGCTTGACAACCACACAGCAAAGGCTGCTTGAGGTCAAGGTTTGTAGTTACTGCAAGGCATGGCCCAGGGAGGGCTGGGAGGATCTAGCCAACCTGAATCCCATTCCTGGAAAACTTACATAGCAGAAGAAGAAAACCAACAGCCACAAGTTGTCTTCTGACTTCTACATGAACACTGTTGTACACACACACACACACACACACACACACACACACACACACACCACTCACTCCCACACACGTACAAATAAATAAATGTAAAAGGATTATTTTAAAAAGAAAGGCTTTGGGCTGGGTGGGGGAAAGGAGGTGTGAGTAGGGAGACTGAGTACAGGGAGTGAATAGCGGGTGATGGCATGTCCCTGGCTGCCACTTCCCACAGTTCTAAACAGAACTTGCCCTTGTAAGGAGCATCTGCCCTTCCCATGGAAGGATAGAGTGGCCCCCAGAGTTGGGGGTCACTCAACAGGAACTGTTCTCTCCTGAGCACCAAGGCCCAGTACACCCTGATGATTAGGATCCACCATGGTCATTGTTCTGTTACTGCTGCAAACAGCTGAGGTGTCCATGAGCCAGGTAGCCCTTCTTCCTTCCCCAGGGGCCTAGGCACCTGTGCAGCTTCCCCAGGGCCCCTTCTAGGGTGGCTGTGGCCAGAGGTCCTCCACAGGCCAATAGTGCAAGGCTGGTCTTCGCAGCATTAGATCTTAATCTCTGAAATTTACTAGGTGTGTGATATGTGACTACCCATCTCCAAGCACTTTAGTCACTGAACAGGTGAGAAAATGAAGGTTCAAAAAGGCTCTGGGACGTGTGTAAAGTCACACACCTTGTGAAAGACAGAGCTGGGGCCTGAAAGAGGCCCTTATTGGGCCCCATTAAAGTAAATAGGTGGGACCCATATGAGACTTTGAGTAGAGAATTGGGGAGAAGGGCCTGAAGGACAGTCCCAGCTGGATCTCTGCATGGTTCTTCCCTGCAGGTGGCTGACCAGATGACACTGCTGCAGAATTGCTGGAGTGAGCTGTTGGTGTTGGACCACATCTACCGCCAGGTCCAGTACGGCAAGGAGGACAGCATCCTGCTGGTCACTGGGCAGGAGGTGACTGAGCTGTTCAATCCCTAGTCCTGCGTGCTCCCAGACTTCTCCAGGCTGGCTCTGGGCACCCTGAAGTCCAAATTCAGGGACATGCACTAGCCAGGCTTCTCTGTGTTCTGGGGTCTTTGAGAAGCCAGAGTGTGGGATGGCCAGGGGATGTCCTTGTAGGAGATGACAGCGGGATTGGCTCCCCAAAATAAGGCAACATCGGTCAGCTGGTGCTGAGGTGATGGGTGGCAGTCTGCACTGTTATACGTGTGGGAGCAGTAGGATCAAGGACTCTGAGAAGGGGTTCAGGGTACTGCCAAGAGCCTGTAGGGTGGGAAGTGTGAGAGATGAGGTTGCAGCCATTGCTAGGGGCTGGTGAGCAGGCAAGACACTGTAGGGTCTCCATCCTCATAAATGATAAACGAATGAGCAAACAACAAATGAATAAATGAAAGAGTGGGCAAAAGGCCCAGAGAGCTCAGAGCCAGAATCTGGCCCTTTGAGCAGAAAATATAACATGGCAGGGGTGGAAAGCCATGGAGAAGGCCTGAACCCCCCCCCCACCAGGAGGGACATTAGGGTTGCCAGTGTGTGTAGGTGAAGGAGCCTAAAGTGCTGGGTCTGGAGACATCTTTAAAGAGGACAGCCCAAAAATGGGAGAGGAGGTACAGGGAAAGGTGTGGGAGAAAGAAAACTCCCAGAGACAGGTGTATGGCCCCCAGGAGAGGGGACACAGGCTGAATAGTGGGCACAGTGGATACTGTCCTGAAATGCAGACTGGGGCCCTACTTCCTTACCCCTGCTCCCCAGGACCTGTGTCCTCACCTCCCGTGTCTCAGGCTGTTGAAAGCAGGAATGGGATACTAGTCCCCAGGGATGACTCTGGGCCACAGGAATGCAAATACAGGATCTGGATATGAGTGAGGACACACAGGCTGCAGGAATGTCCTGAGTGTACCCACGCACCTGTGTTTGATTGTGTGAATCTGCACATACAGATTGTGTGGGTGTCCATAGCTTCCTACCACTGTGTAAGCATGAGTACATATGCAGGTGTATTTGATTGTTGTGAATGGCCATTGAAGGGCAGGAGTGGGTGTAATTGTGCAGACATGAGTACCATAGCTTCGGCAAACAGTGTGTGTGTGTGTGTGTGTGTGTGTGTGTGTGTGTGTGTGTGTGTGTAGAGAGAGAGAGAGAGAGAGAGAGAGAGAGAGAGAGAGAGAGAGAGAGAGAGAGTGAGCTAGGTGGTGTTGGACCTTTACCTAAGCTCAGGCAGAACCACCCTGCTGCCCCTTCCCCTGCCCCAGAGAAGGGCACTTGCCACAGTTAGCTGTGCAAGAACAGTTCATACTACTGGGCTGGTTGCAGCCCTTTGTAAATGAAGTATCCTTCAGCTCCCTAGTGTTCCTGCTGTCTGGTGCATGCCCCACTGCCGCTAAAGAAGAGGTCAGCCTTGGGTGCTCAGCTTGGGCCAACAGGTGGAACAAAGCTGGCAAAACGGCCCTCAGCATGGTGGGCCTGAGGCTCAGTGTTTGGCCCATGCCCCTGATCAGAGCTTTCTGCCCCGTCCCTCTACCCACCTCCCTGACCCGCCCTCTGCCGGTACAGGTGGAGTTGAGCACAGTGGCAGTGCAGGCTGGCTCCCTGCTTCACAGTCTGGTGCTGCGGGCGCAGGAGTTGGTGCTGCAGCTGCATGCACTACAGTTGGACCGCCAGGAGTTCGTCTGTCTCAAGTTCCTCATCCTCTTCAGCCTCGGTGAGTGGCCTCTGGAGGCTCTGCAGCAGAGCATGGCAAAGAGATTGGGGACTCTACTGTGGTCAGGAAGCCCAAGGGACAAGGACCCTCCTTTAGTGAGTGGTACAAGGGCCTGGCTACTTCTGGAGGGGGTTAGGGGTAGGAGGGCTTAGTTTCTCAGTGTAAGGTCCCAAGGGCTGAGATGTTGTCTAGCGTTTGTCTTTCATGTTGTGTGGACCTTTCTGCTCTGTGTGCCTAGCACACTTAAATGCCTGCTGCATTTAGGACTCTCTCCCCTGGCTCCCATCCTGGGATCCCTACTTTCCCAAACTCCATGACCTACTGAACCCCAAATTCTGATTCAAACCCCCTTCACATTTACATTCATTCATTCTCCAGATACCTCTTGAACTTCTGCCTGGTGCCAGGGGCTGGGGGCTACATAGCAAATGGGAAAGCCCCCAACTGCTGCTCTCAGAACCAGCTCTGAGAAACAGCAAGTGTCTTATAGAGGGTGGAAAATGTAGCAGCAAGATCCAACAAGTATGCGGATATACCTCAGAGAACCTGAGTCCTGGCATGGAAAGCCTGGAAAAGAGTCTTAGTTGGGAGGAGGATTCTGCAGCAGGGAAGCAGCTATGGGAGCGAGGCTGGACAGAATGGAGACATGTCCTTGTGGCAGTTTGGCAGTGATGCCTCCTGGGGAGTAGGAAGTGTTTGGAAGCAGAGGGGAGAAGGGAACTTATAAGGAAGCCCAGTGCTCAGGCAGAGTTGGGCTACTTGCCATGAGCATGTGGCTAAGGATAGGGGGCTGGGACTCTTGGCCTGGCTAGGGCTCCACAGTGTTAGAAAATGACTGACATGAAGCTGCTACCTTGGAGTGTAGCAGAGCCTTAGGGGCCTGGCCAGGCTTGGGAGGGTGGTACTGGGAAGAGAGGAATTGTCAGCACCAGTCAGAGCTTCATCCATAGATAGTGTTCCCTTAAGGGGGAGCCCTTTTTCATACAACCAAACTACTAGGTCCAGTGTGACTTTGGCGTCCCTTGAGGTAAGTTCAGGCTCCTCTTCCCAGCCCTGTAAGCTTAGTGGTGCCTTGGCTTGGGAGGGCTCAGCCCTCCTCCGTAAGCTAACTTCATCTTCAGTAACCTGGAGATCAGGGCTACAGTGGGGAGGGTGGGAAGAGCCTGGATTCTAATCTCTTTGGTTTTTGCAATTGAGCAAGTCACTCACTCTCTGAGCCTCTATTTCCCCGTGTGTGAAATGACAGCTGTAAGTGTCCTTGACATGCTGCAAGGATATAATGAGACAATTCTACCACAGTCTTGGCCCTTGGAAGTGTGTGCTGATGGTTTTATTAATCATCCTTATTAAGTCCATAAACAAATGAGCCAGAGAGCAAAGTGAATGAACAAACCAGGCTACAGGCTCAGTCTTTATTACATGCTTTGTGTCTGGCTCAGGACTTTGTTGTCTCTGGGCACAGGAACTCAGATCTGGCTATGGCGGCTGAGTTCTCAGTTTAGTGGGTCTGGAAGTGGGTGAGGATGGGGGTGTCAGAGGCACAGGAGGCAGTGATCCTTGGACCTCAACTTACTGGAGCCTAGAACTAGGGGCACGCTGGGTCACATGGTCCTTGGAAAGAGACTCCATGTTGGGAGAGGAGGCGAGCAGTTCAGTATGATCAGAGTCTGGGCAACTCTCCTTGATCTGAATGCAGGATGAGGTGGATGCATCTGAGCTGGACCTTGCAGTGTGAATAGAAATGTTCTGGTGAAACAAACAGAAGGAACGTCCTGTTTGAAGTTATGGGGAGAGGAAGGGGTAGAGATGAGGCCATAGGGTGGACAGGGACTGAACTGTGTATGGCCATGGCTATTGGGTACCTTGAACCTTCCTCTGGGATGGCTGCCACTCTGGAAACAACACACCTCACATCTGCATATCACCACATAAGGCCCTTTCAGCAGCAGCCTGGGGTCAGATGGTGGGCAGATAATCCAGAGCCCTGCAGCAGGCAACGCCTGTACCTGGGTGATGGTGTGTGACCCTCTGAATCTTAAATACAGGACTCCATCAGAGCTGAGCTCTCAGGAAGACTGGGACTCAAGGCAGGACTGACCACTTGTCCACAGACTTCCAGTCAGCCTGCTTGTGGCACCCTCAGTGCCACCGCACTGGGTTGGGCGGCCTCAACCCCAGGCGGTGACTGTCACCTACTCACCCACCCCTGTCCCCCCACATGCCTCCTTCTCGCCTGTCTCTGCAGAAGGGTGCCATTTGGTGTCTAAATAGCATCTCGGGCAGCTCAGAGGCAGGTAAGGAGGCTTAATTAAAATTAGTGCCTCTCTCCTGGCAATCACAGTGTTTATGAAGATGGGCCCGGGCGGCATTGTTCTGCCGAGGACTTAATCGAAGCTTAATGGATTGACCTAACATTCGATTTCCTGATTCCCATTGAGGCGCGCGGCAGCATTCCCTTAAGCGTTTGCAATTTACCCACTGCTCCAAGCCAACAAAAGACGGACTGAATAGCAGTGCCACTCGAGGGGCCATTGTGCGCGGGGGCGCCTGCCTGAGTCACTGCTATTGGGACAACATTCTTTATGCCTCGCTGGAATGAAAGGATTATTCAAATATTCAATTAAACCGTGAAAAGGGGGCTTTTCTGAGATCCTGGGGGCCCCCAGCTCATGGAGCTAGCGGCTGCTCCCAGGGTGGGGTGCCATCTCCCACCCACCTCCGTCTCCAGGGATGCAGACTGCAGTCTCAAGCCCCAGGCTGGAACCCAGTGAGGATCCTGGTCCTGACCTGTCCCATCTTATAGAAGATAGGAAACTGAGGTTCAGAGGGAGCCTCTGGTTGCAGAGATGGGGTGTGGCACGTGAAGAGAGAATCTCCAGGTTGTGGGACTGCTGTTCCTGGGCCTGAGGGACAGGGGTACCACACTCAGTGGGATGTGACCATATTCCTATCTCTTTGCAACAAGCTGGGGACTGACGGATGTGGGGAAGTGGTTTCTAGGTGAGGCAGAAGTTAGGTCTTAATTTGTGGGAACTGGGGGACCAGAGGCCTTCTGGGAGAGGGGCTGTCCCTGATAGCTGTCCTTGTCCTGCACCCTCCCCCTCTACTCCACTGTCGTCCGGAGTCCCTGATGCTTGTTGCTGAGAACAGTAAATCCTGGTAAAGCCAAGAAGGCCCTGGTGCCCCCATCCCTTCCTACCCCGCCATCTGAGCAGCATCCTGGCGCATCCTCCTCCACCTCAGCTCTTTCCTCTAGGCGCCTTTACTGGGCAGCCTTGAGATAGATCCCATCTTTCTCCTGTTATGAACGTCAGACTGACCCAGGGACAGTATGGAGGTGATGGTGGATGGTATGTACTGTGACTGGGATGGGAAAGGGATTGGAGCAAGGGCAGATGGGATCAGTAAGCATCTCTTGCTTCCTTTAAATGTACCTGAAGCTGGCCAGGCTAGGAAGCCGCGTTGCTGTGCACAGTTGGGTAGGTTTCACTGTACAGGGGCACTGAAGCAGAGCAGGACTGGACTTGGATCTAGGTGTATCTCTCGAGACAAAGGGAGCTTTTTCCTAAAGTGCATAAAGATGTCTCGTGAGAGGGTGGCTATCCCAGAGAGGCAAGGAAGAAAATGACCCTGGCTCACTTATTGGAGGGTGATGGGAGCCAGGGTGGAGGCCAGCAGCTGCCAAACCCTGCCATACGACGCAGGCCCAGATCCGGTTTCCCTAAATCCATCTTTGGACAACACAGGCCCCAGCGGGTGTGCTGGGGGCGGCTGAGGATCAGGGTTGCCAGGCACCTCAGCTTTCCTGGCACAGTGGGTGTTAAGAGGGATTAGAGGGCCAAGAGCACATGCTGGCCCAACTCCCCCACAGTAGAAAGACTGGGATGCTCCAAGGGAGCAAAGCAGATGAGTGACCCATCTTCTGACCCTCTAGAAGGCACAGTTCAGGGAGGCCAGGATAGGCTGAGGGTTGGGGGCTGATGTTAAACTCCTGGGCAGGGCATGAGCTAATAGAGGCTGTGACAGGGGCTTAGTGACAAGGAAAGGGCCCAAGCACCCCATTTCCAGCTCTTCTCTTACCTTTATGCAGAACAGGCAGGCACTCTTCCATATGGCGGCTACGCCTAACCAACTCCAAAGACCTCTTTGTGTTTAGCCCAGGACTAAGGCCCAAGGATGCACGGATCACACATCAGCCTGGCCACATTTGGTCCACACTGAGCCACCTGCTCCTCTCCCTCTCATAGTGAGCTGGCCCTCCATGTTTAACTGCAGCTTCATGGTCACCATTGTTCTCACACAGCATGTCTGTGTGGGGAGGGCTAGTGAGCTTGCCTGCCTGCCTGCCTGCCTTCCTCCCACTTTTTTCATTTTTTGAGAGCATAGAGGAGAGAACCAGGGCCTATGTGTGCCAGGCCAATGGTCTTCTCTAAGCCACACTTCAGTGACATTTAAATTTCTATAAATGGCTTTGCTTTGCAAACTTCAGCTCTTCTGTTGCCTCTCACCTCCCACTCTACCCCACTTTTCGACATGGCTCTATGTGCTCTAGGTCTGTCCATTCTACAACCCCAGATGTAACTGGCACACAGCCACCCAGGCCCCTCTTCCTCACCATGAACAGTGCTGCAGAGAAGCTGACCCTGTAGCTCCAGGACTTAATTTATGGAGCCTCTTTCCAGGGCATGTCCAGAGTACTCATGGGCCTGACACCCAAGACAGGTCCTTTGGACAGTGATGGTGATGCCTGGGGGCTAGGGGATGGCCACAGGAATGCTTTGGCGTGTTTTCCCATGAATTACTACCTTACATCTTTGAAGGGACCTGTGTATCCCATTTTATAGGTGAGGAAAACCTAGCAATGCACCTGCTGCTGTTGCTAATGATCTTGGTGATTGTCAAGTATCCATGGTGACAGCAGCAGTGATAATTGTGCTAGTGATATGGTTTAGTGGTTGGTGACGGTGGTGGAAAACTGGTGATAAAACAGGGATTTTCTAGGTGTGGTGGCACACGTCTTTAATCCACTCAGGAGGCAGGGAAAAGTGGGTGGATCTCTGTGAGTTCAAGGCCAGCCTGGTCGACATAGTGAGTTCCAGGACAGCCAAGGAGACATAGTGAGGCCCTTTCTCAAAAAGAAGGAGAACAAAAAAGTCAGAGAAAGCACAGGGACAAGCCCGGGGACACTAACCGAAGTGACGTCAGTGGTGGTGCAGTGGCCACAGGTGGAGATGAGGAGGTTGCCATTGAAAGGTTCATGGCAGTCTCTGCACCCATGAGTTTGGTATTCCCTGGGAATGTGGTGTTAGTAATACTGGTGACAGTGTCAGCCTAACTTTAGTGGTGGCACAGTGACTGGAGGGTGATGGACTGCTCCTGTTGCAGATGTGAAGTTTCTGAACAACCACAGCCTGGTGAAGGATGCCCAGGAGAAAGCCAACGCTGCCCTGCTGGATTACACCTTGTGTCACTACCCGCACTGTGGGGACAAATTCCAGCAGTTGCTGTTGTGCCTGGTGGAGGTGAGGGCACTGAGCATGCAGGCCAAGGAGTACCTGTACCACAAGCATCTGGGCAATGAGATGCCCCGCAACAACCTTCTCATTGAGATGCTGCAGGCCAAGCAGACTTGAGCTTGGGCACGTGGCAGCAGGCAGCAGGTGGGGATGCCTCTGCCTCCAAATGACTCATTGCATTAGGTGATCTGGGAGCCCTGTCCCTAGGCCCCTGCCCCTGAGCTCTGGAGCTGTGTGTTTTGGATGGCAGACAAAGATGAGCAGGGACTGCCTGGGGCAGGTTGCCTTCACCAGCCACTGGCATGTGTCTGCCACTTGGAGTGCCCTGAGGAAGTGGCTTCTAACCACTCCTTCCTCCATCTGCCCCCAGCTTCTTTTCTGGCATCTGAGGTACAGGTCCTGGGAGGAGGTTTGGGATTCCCTGGATATCCCTTGGGTCAGAGGTCATCCTTTCCCTCTCTCCTGTAATCGGAGGCAGGGGAAGGTCTACAGGCATCAATGAGGGCAGAGGAGTGGTCTTCAGACTCCCCTGAAGAAGGGAAGAAGTCCACTGTTGTAAACCGAGTCTGCTAAATTGGGTAGGGCTTGTCCCTAAAGGACACTGGGAGACTGGGTAGGGCAAAAAGACCCCTCTCCAGCCCTCCACCTCCAATCCATTACCTGAAAAAAGATTTTGTTGTAATCATCTTTGAGCCACCTAGGGAGGAGGAGTCTGGTGTAGTCAACATTCCCACCCTGGCCCTGTCCACTACTAGCTAGCTGGGCTGGTACTTTTCTGCAAGGTTGTAGTCACCAGGATTCTTTGCTTTTCCTTTTCCCTAGACAGTCCTTGGAAGGTGTGTGAGAGAGAAACAGTAGATAGATTGAGGACTGAGCTGGGAAATGGGGATTGCCACCAAAGTTTTTCCTCCTGATATCTCATTCCAAGAGTCAGGGTGGCACTGGGTCATGTTTATGTACCCCCACCTCACTCCAGAGAAGATCTGCCCCCTCCTTTTACTAGGGTAACAGCAGGAGGCCTGCAGAGACCTAGAGTCCCTGCAGGTGGGGATACTGGGGAACCTAGAAGGACTCAGGGGTCTTCAGGTGGGGACAGTGCTGAGGAGTCACCCTTGTTCATGGCTCCATCCTTTCAGGTCCCTTGCCACAACTCTTGAAGCTGGCCTCAGTTCCTTGGCCTCTACTTTGCATCCTGAAAGTCACTCTGTAGGGCCAGGCACTGTGGGGAGAGGCCTACGCTATCCTCTGTCCAGACAGGGCATCCATTGTCCTTCTTGCTTTCATGTCAGACTTACAGCTTATGCTAAGCCTGCCTTCCACCATCCTGCCTCAGACCCCCACCTCTGCCCCTGAAATGTGTACCCCTGCCAAGGCCAAGACCTATTGCCCCGAGACAAGAAGTGCCCTTACAAAACCCCTGCACCCCTGCAGCCCTGAAATAAATTTTGCAATTAGTTTCCAGTAGCATTTGTGAATTTGCATTCTGAAGCAAGGCGTAGTCCCTGGGGCAGGTTCTGGGCAGTGGTGATGGTCTGCCTGCTGTCAAAATGGTGTTCAGCTCAAACTTCTGGGGAGGGGTTTTTGAAATGGCTCAGAAGGTAAAGGTGCTTGGCAGGCCAAATGACCTGAGTTCAGTCTCCGGAATCTACATAGACAAGGAGAGAACTGACTCGCATAAGCTGTCCTCTGGCCTGTGTGCATGTATGTTCACACACACACACACACACACACACACACACACACACACACACACTTAAGACTTGCCCAAGATCAAGCCAGTCAATGGTCCAACATGGATGGGGGATGAACTCACAAACCCTCCACTCCTGGCTGTCAATGGTTCCCCCACTTCCTGGGGGTAAGGAGAGTCAGGTTTCTTCAGGGTGTGACTCCTAGGAGGCTACCATACTCCAGTGCTCTAGTGGAGGGCCCTGCATCCATACATATACAGGTTTCACTAAGTGGACTCAGCGGGTTACAAAAATTAAGACAGAGCTGGGCAGGGAATGTGGAGGGAGTCCTAGGAACTGGGCAGTGGGAGGTGGATGTGATCTAAATATATTGAATACATATATGAATACATACATACTATACTCATTGGAATTATTTTTTAAAAATGAGGTGGAAGATAGGTTGGAGAGCCCAGGGTGTAGGGAGAGCAGGCTCTCCTGGGCTTTGGGCCCCAGCCTGTACCTAGGACCCCAGAGTACCCAAGGCTTAGAAGATGCTGTAACTCTCTGGGGTCTCAACTCAGCTCCACCCTGCCATGCCGGTGGAGCTGCCCCCATATTGAAAGAGCACTCATTCCACGATCACCTCACATATGCCCTCCCCAAGTTCCCTGTCCTTGCAGGAACTCCATCAGGGTGTAATTCAGGAGAGCTCTTCTCCAACAGTGTGGGGAACCAGATTCCAACCTGGGTCTCTTTTTTCTCTGCCCTGTCCCCACCCTTGCTGATAAGTCGTCGCCCTCCCATCCCACTAGGTGGCAGCAGTGAGCTTGGCCAACACCTGCGTCTGTTGCTCCAGCACCTCAGGTCTTGTTGGATCTGCTCTTCAAAGCCACGTCTGTTGTCTGTCAGTTTCCCCTCATTCACACAGCTTAGGAGGGGCCCAGTCATTGTGCGGACTTCCACTTTCCTACTCACTGTAACCAACTGGGTTAATCTAGGGCCACACTTGGTCCACCCAGGGTCTCCAAAACAACTAGAAAAATGTACCTCCTCTAGGGGGAGGTGGCAGAAAAGATGTTCCTCTCCTGCTTCGTGCTTGCCCCAGGGCAGTGTTCAGGCTTAAAGACGACTTTCTTAACCAGATTATAGGATATGATCCCTTACGTAACTGAGCCAGAGATAAGAAAAGTCATTGGTTTGACTCACACAAGAAGGCTTCATGGCTGAAGGGTCATTCAAATTGGGTTTTGAAGGATGTCTAGGAATTCACCAGCTTGATAGAAACAAGGACAGTCCAGGCAGAAAGAACAGCCTGACAATTAAAGGAAGAAGGGGGATGCTAGCTGACTGTGTTTGGCTGGAACATAGAGGATATGGGGGAGGAAGAGAGGTGCAGGACGAAGGGACTGGAAAAGACCCCTTAGTCCTGTCCCCTGATCCCCAAACCTTTATGATTGGAACAAGGGCCTGCTGCAAGGGAAGGAGTTCATAGTGCATGGAAATGTGGATGGTTTTGTGCCACCTTGGACCCAGTCCCTTCTACCTCCTTGCATGCCCCTCCCCACTTAGCCACAGGGAGTGGTTCTGCCAGGGCTGAGCATGCATTCTGCTGATACTTAGCAGGGCCCCTGCTCCAGAAAAAGTGGCCAACTGGCTCAGCCTTTCATCCTCCTGGGCTTCTGCCTGTTTTCCCAGTGAATGGCAGGGACTCTGCTGTCTTCTCTCTGGTGAATCCCTGGCCTCTCACCCAGAGCCTTCAATGCCTTGAACACAAGTTCCTCTGTGCCTACAGCCCTACATGTCTCTGGTCACAACTGACATCCCTTGGGCATGTCAGGGACATGGTCATGCAGGGTGAATGGTATGCCCCAAACTAGGCTAGGACTGTATCACAGGTCTTCTGAGAGCCTGCTGTTACTCATTCTGCAAATGACAGACAGGGCTTCAAGATCTTCCACATCCTAGGTCCCCAGAAAGGAATGCCTGGTCACCTGGAATTTTGTAGGTGAGCCAATGTTCCTCAGAAGCTGTGTCCCCGGTGCAACCCACATAGGGTTCAGAGAGGAAGCCACCAAGGCCCCTGGCATTGTCTGTGCCTCACTGGCTCTTAAGGGTTTCTCACTCACCCTTCCCTCTCCCTTGCCCCATGCACACCCCCACCCAGCTCTGTAGCCCCAGGGAGGCAGGCTAGATAGTGTTGGCAACTTTTGAGCACAAAGCCCCAGTCTGGGCCCTTTGTTTTCTGGCCCCTTTCTTGGGCCTCTCCAACACCAGGCCTGATGCTGACCCCAACTCATCTCTGCTTCCCCTGGTCCTGAAACCCCACCTACTCTCAAAGAGACGAGGACCTGGCTGGTGGCTTCACAGTGGAGGTGCCCCGGCCCGTTTGCTTTTTGACTTCCAGGTAGGCTCCTCCTCAGCAAGACAGTCATTTACCCACTCACAAGGGAATCCCAGCTACCTGGGGGCAGTGGTGCCTGGCACCTCCAGGAAACACTAGAGATGTTTGGGGCCCACACCCACTGCCTATGCACCTCAGGCTTGTGTCTGCAGTTAGGATGAAGGCAGTCTTCAGGCAAAGTGAGGACATATAGCCCAGGTCAGGGACAATACAAATGCGCAACATGCCAACTGCTGGGCAGAGAAGGTGACTCACGGGCTGAAAGTACTTGCCACAAACCCTGACGACTTGGGCTCTATGCCCAGAGCCTGCATGGTGACCTCCACACACACACACACTCGGGCATATGCACATGCAAAATAAATGTTTTTTTTTAAAAGTGTTGACTAGAACTACCAACCCTGGTGACAAGGCAGAGTCCCAAAGCCAAACCGGCAGCTTCTCTGGCTCCTCTTCCTCCCAGACAGCCTTGCGCCTCTACCCCTCCCACTCCAGGAGGACCTCCAGGCAGCACAGTCGGGAAGCTTCAACACCTAGTTTATTACCAGACACTGCAGAGGGCATCTGGGAAATGGAAGGAACCAAGACAGACAGAAGGACTGGACAAGCTGGCCTGAAACTGCTTTTCTCACTTGGGGCTGCCAGCTGTGCGATCCATTCAGTCTGGGATTCCAAGGATGAGCTGAGGTCCTCTGGCTATCGAGCTCGCGAAAGACTGAGATGAAAATCTTACACATGCCCGTTAGACCCCTGTAAGGAAAGTGACCCTTTCTTTGGGCAGGGCTGGCAGGGCTGGCAGGGCTGGCAGGGCTGGCAGGGCTGGCCAAGATTAGGCAGGGTCCGAGAACAGAGGCTTGGGGGAGACCCTGCCATTCCGGCCTGTCCCTCATAGTCTCCCTGAGACTCAGTTTCTACACCACACCGTAAGAACACCTGCATGCCCCCAGCGTCCCCAGAGCTTTCGGAAAGGACGCACAGCCAGCAGCTCCCGTTCCCCCCCCCCCCCGGTCGCCCCCTTCCCCCCGCATCTTTCCAGGCTGCCTGAGTGCATGGCTGGGAGGAGCTGGGGGCGAGAAACGGGGATCATCGGACTTGGGGTCCAGAGGGTGGGGCCGAGGTGGAAGCTGCTCGGTTGCTACGAGCAGCCCTAGCAACGCACCCATTCAGCAGAGACAAAGGCGCTGTCATTTGAGCACAGAGGCGCTGCAGTGGCTCTTGTTCTCGCAGACGGCTGTGCCCGTGGGTGGGGGCGGGGTGGAAGGGGGCTGGGCCCGTTGGGTGCTGGGCGGCTACACGCTCTGATGATGCCTGGCTGTGCGCCCCACAATCGGCCTGCAGGGGGCGCTCCGGCCCCTTTTAGCAGACTAGAAGCGGACGGTCCGAGTCAGCCTCAAGCCTACGTCTGTGACCACACCCCTATGACTAGCCCCATCTGTGCAGATGAGCCTGCTGCACCACTGGCTGCCTGCTTGCGGCTCCTTTAGACGCGTTGACCTTCTCCCTTGGCTACTACACCAAAGCCAGCAGGGCCTAGGGTTGGGCACTGAGCTAGCCCCAGCAAGAGTTCAGAAAGCAGGCCTCTCTTCCAGTCCTGGGTATAGTGTTTGAGGCTAGGCAGTGGTGGTCTGAGACTGTGGACTCGGGGTCAACGTGGCTGACCGTGACTGGTTGTCTCCACTGTCCTCTGGGGTGTGGCTGAGCCCCACCCCAAAACCTGGGTAGGGCCTGTGGTGTCCCCTGCCATGTCTTATTGACCCCCGGGTTGGAAAAAGCACTTGCCATGGGGTTTGGAAGGGTTCTTAATGTAGGAGCCTTTCATTAAGGACCCAGGTGCACAGGGTGGTGTCTGGAGGCCGGGCCAGGGGATCAGAGACAGGTGAGCTGCTTGGTCATGGCCTCTCTGCCCAGCACCAGCTCTAGAAAGGGTTCTGCCCACTTAGTCTCTCTCTCTCTCTCTCCCCAGAGAGGTCCCGTAAGGTTGTTCCAAATCACTTTCATCTTGGGGTAGCGCGGCAAGGAGTGGTGGGGGTGGGGTCTGCGCAGGAAGAGCTGTACCTGAAGTCCTGACTCCTGTCAGTTCCACAGCCTGAGAAAGAGCATAGGGTAGATTGGCTCTTTCTCCGTTCCCCTTTGCCCTGGGAGCCCTTGCCCCTCCCCAAAAAGGCCTTGGCCTGCAGCCTGCAGGCTCTAGCTCTCCAGTGCTGAGGACAAGGTCCCTGGGGTCAGTCCCCACCTACCCTGGGCTGGCCTTAGCTGTGTTCCCAACCCTACCCACCACACTAGCTGGTCCCTTGTTCCAGCCTTGCTGGTCTCGTGGGTTCTGTAATGGAAGAGAAAGCTGTGGGGATCCTGAGTTCATGGGTCCCTAGTAGGGGAAAATACTTGGGTTGATGAATTGTGCACAGGCTAAGACAGGAAATGTGTTTCCCCTCATTAGGCCCCCATTATCAGACACCCTAA